TTTTTTTTTTTTTTTTCGCAATTTTTCGTTATACTAATTCACACTAATTCACGTTATACTAACTGTTTCACAAAAATACTTTTCGAAAAACTTTATTGGAAGTAATTTGAAGCACGTCCACCCTGCAATGCAATAATGCATAGTAATTACTAGAAAGTGTATATTAAAGGCGAGAGAGATATTAAAATAATACATTTTTGTAATTCTTTTAAAAATCAACAAAAAATACAGTAAAATTAATTTTATGTCATCTTAAACAGTGCATTTCGCACTATCCGTAGGAAAACTATGAAGAAAAAGTTGGATCCGCTTTTGAGAAAACTGCGTTTTAGCGGTATTTTGAACTCATTTTCACAGAAAAATGTAAAGAGATTTCGAGAAACTTTACCAAGCATTATTTAAACATTTTTAAACAAAATGAATAATACATATTGCTGTTAATGTAAATATTAACGATGTGAGAGAGATGTCAAGAAATTACAATATTGTGTAATTTGTGGGGGGAAAAATGTAGAACAAAACCGTAGTATAAGTATAAGTACACTAGCGGAACCTGGCAGACGTTGTTCCGCCCTTCATCTACTTCTCTATCTTCGTCTGCCCCCTTGACACCTTGGCGAAAGTGTAATAGAATGTTCAAAAAGATATCATCCTGTAGATTAAGATGTGAGAAACGTTTCTTTGAGGCCTTTGACGTCAAAATTTTAGTTTTTAAAACCTAGAACGCTTCATTTAGGATTTACTTAATGATACAGTTTCAAAAAACTCTGCCGAGTGTGTTGCATTTGACAAGAATATCTCGTTTTGTTCTTCGGCGCGATCAAATGAATTTTGTTGTTCAGACAACTGAAGGACGGATGGACGATTTGACCGTACCAAAAGTAAAAAAAAAAAAGATATGGGGCCGTTTTTGAAAAAGCCTCGTTTTTGTATTTTTTTAATTGCACCCAATATTGCACGAAAACTACCAAAAGTTTTCAAAATGTGCATGGCCTTATTCAAAGAACTAAATATGGAGAACAAATCCCATTTGAAGGAAAAATCTCCATTTTCAATTTTGTTTAAAGGCGCTAAAAAATTAAAATTTTTCAATTTTCCAAAATTCAGAGTTTAAATACGAGCTATGCTACCTTTATGAGTGTGCTTTACTGTATTCGTACAAGTTACGAAGTTGAAGAACAAAATTGGAACTATTTTTGACGAAATTTTGAAAATGTTCCAATGGCTTTATGCAAAGTACTGCCAAAAATTAATGAATGTTTTTCTAAATAGCAGAACTTCGACTGAGGCCAGGACGACAGATTTATTCAATTTGAAAACTAGTGGAGTTGTATTACAGCGAGTACACTCTCGCGATATTGTTAATGTTTATGTAATATTATATTATGACAATTTGTCTTACATATCAACTACCATTTTAAAAGTTTTTAAACAAAGCGCGAAAAGTACATCTATTTTTTTATGCAAATGTGAAAACAGCTTTCTGCCATTGAAATCAGTGTATTCACGTTTGAAAAATATCATAATCAAATATATGTTTATATTCATCAAAATTAATCGATTTTTACTTGCATTGCTCTTCATTCTTACATCTTAAGCGAAGCGAAATCTATTCCTTTTCACTTTAAAGTCAATTAAAGGATGCAATTTAAAATATGTTTTAAATGATTTCTAAAAGATAAAAAAAACGAAATGAAATTGTAACCATCGACTCACCCGATTACCTGCTTTCCTTCGGCGATTCAGCTTTACCCGGCTGCTTCGTCGGCAGACTCCCTAGATGGAGGCATGCGTGATTGTCTAATTACTGGATAGAAAGACTGAGGCATTTTCTTTAATATTACTTTAATCAATACTTGATTCAATGCGGGTGAAGCCCAATGCCAGAAACAAAACTTACAATTAACTTACAAACTTATCTTAATTTAGAAAAAGGCCGGCATGGTCAGAGTTCATATCAGCTCCGTGCTTTTCGCCCTGCCGGGCGGCCGTTACCCAGATTACAGGGGCGGCTTTCGGGCATCCCAGCGCCCGGCAGGTCTGGCGGCGGGCAGCCACGGTCGGTGCTTGCCCCGGGTTCATTTGTGGCGACCGCTCGGCGGCCCCCAGTCACTGGATCAGGCCAGCGGCGTTCGTCGACCGGACGGCGCCTCGGCGTCGCTCAGCGCGGGCAGGCGGTAGGGTCGCACCCGAGCGATGGCGGGTCGCTTAGTGGTCGTGTCTTTCACGCCCCGGCTCGTACTCTCTTTGCTCTTGCGGTCAGGCACTCACATGTGGTGTACCGTCCCATAGTTCGGCTTCCGTCACGCAAGTCGGGCTGCGATAATTGCGAAGGCGGGGCGACCAGGCACGGAAAGCCCCGGCTCCGAACTAAAGTAACAGCTCTATCCGTCCATCCGAAATGTGAGCGCTCACCCCGCTGATTCCAAAGTCAGTCAGCTCGCTCCGCCGCTTCCGATACAAGTCATCCCGCTCCGCCGCTTCCAAAACAAGTGCCCGAGCTTCCTTCGGCGGTCCCTCAGGAAAGCTCGCGTGTCACGTGTCAAATACTCCAATTTTGAAAAGATTGTACATGATAGTATTTCAAAGTCTAACTTTAAGGGACATGTATGATTAAAGGAAGAACTTCTGTAATATTTTAGTTGTAGGCAGGCGCCAAAAAAGTATTGAATATTTGCAATTTTCGAAAAATCAGTGTTTTCAACAAAAATGCGACCTGCTTCTAAACGTCATTTACACAATACAACAACAAATTTTAACAAAAAAACGATGGAGTCATTTTTTCAAAATATTTAAAATGTGTCAGGCGCTTCAGATAAAGAAGCCCCGAAAATTAAAATATAGGTTTCAAATTCAAGGGGCCGCGACATCAGCCAGATTGGGGAATAACAATTTTGGAGAAAATAGGCTGAACTGTTTAGCTGCTAGCGCTGTTTACGGGCAGACGTTTTGCCATCAATCGATTTGTCGGTATCAAGGACCCATAACACATGGATTCTGGCTAACGAAAAAAAATTGAACCCATTTTTGAGGAAATTTTCAAAATGTCCGTGGGACTTCATTTAAAGTAATCCCAGAAACTAATGAATGTTTTTCAAAATAGTAGAGCTTTGGCTCAGACCAAATCGACAAAGGTTTATTCAGTTTTGTAAACAACGTACGCATAGTTTATACGCTAGTGTTATACAGCGATTTTTGCAACTCTATCCATGGAAGGTATCAGGTGTTGACAGTTTCATTCAATCCTGAGCTTAAATGTCACCACAGAGATGTCACTACGAGTGACGTTTAGGCTCCCTGTTGGATGAAACAGTCAGCAGCTGATACATGCCAGGGGCAGAGTACGAGTAGCATAAATCGCAATATACTGGACGGACCAAAGTTTTTCCGTGAATCGATTTTTCGGTATCACAGACCCACATAACGTAAATTCTGGCTACACCACGTGTTAGATAATATTTTTCTTTATTTACAAAATGGTTTTATCTACTTTTTCGTTATCAGGGCCCGGCAATAGGAGTTTTTCTGCCAAAAATTCGTCGTTTTTTCGCGTAGTACATAACTTTCTAATGCGTAAGAGGTAGCGAGAAAGTAAAAACAAGATGTAAATTTGAACTGTGAACTCTAAAACGGCTCCAATTTTTTCTTTAACCTTTTGCTTGCCATAGTGCTAAAAGTTCTCTATCAACTATATTTCTCTTTTCTTTTGTTTTCGTAAAAATTACAAAAATGTAGTTTTTACAATTGACAATATTGTAAAAGATAATGTAATTAAAATTAACAAAAATGTATTTATTTACTTGACTCTCAATACTTGCATTAGCGGCGATTTGTTCACGTTATTGCATTTATGAATACATGTGCCTCAAATGATGTCTGTCGAAAACTGAAAAGTTTTCTGTAAAAAATGAGCTGAAAATTCCGCGGTTTCAGACACGTTTAAAGGCAATTTTCCCAAAAACGGCTCCAATTTTTTTTCAAGCTGTTCAATCCTATTGTGCTATTTGCATCGTTTATTACGACATCAAATACATTTTGGCTTATTCTTTTGATTTGTCAAACATTTTACAAATGTAATTTTCTTTTAATATCTCACGCGCCACTAATAAGCACTTTCCAGAGATTTGTTAACATTTTTGCATTTGTGATTTAAAGTGCTTCAAATGACTTCAATAAAAGATTTCGAAAACCAAAAAGTTTTCTGCAAAAAGAGCCTAAAATTTCGCATTGGTATCGAAAAATTGATTGACGACAAAACGTATTTGTTCGTCTATTGTTAACGCTAACGCAAAAACTGTTCAGCGGATTTTCTCCGGAATTGATATTCCTCGTTCGATCAGAACGAACTCAAGGTTTTGGGAGTTTAAAACGGATGATGTTTGGAGTTCTTTATATGAAGCGTCAAAATAATTTTCGAAATTTCCTCAAATAACGGCCTCAATTTTATTTATTTAACTTTGACCTCCGAAAGTGTAAAAAAAAACGTTTTATAATATGCATGTCTCATGATCGTTGGAATTCCTGATTTTTCGAAAATTATAAAAGTGCAATTTTTTTGTTTTGTGTTTTCTTACAACGAATATTGAAGGTAGAGATTTTTTGTAACAAAATCTGTTCTTTGAAGACAGATCATAAAATAGGGTCATGTTCAATTTTTCATAAATATGAGTAGTTCTTGTGTAATTTGACGCGAAATGTAGGCAATTTTTAATTTTTTAATAATTTTTCTCAAAATCACACAATTTTTTTCTTGAAGTTTTCTCCTTGCATGTATTGAGGGATGATAAACAATATGGTCTGGTCCTATTTTCGGTAAAACACTCTGTATTTTCGAAAAATGCAAAATGTTAATATTTCAAAAATACAAAAAACAAAAGACAAAGATTTTTGCCTTAGATGAAGTGTAAAAAAATCAGCCATGTACAATTTTGTGATGGAACTAGTAGTTTTTGCGTAATTTGTGCTTGAAACTGATGCAATTAATGTAAAAAGGTCTCATTCTTTTCAATATCATGTTATGGTTCACAAGAACACATTTACCCCCAGTATTTCAAGCACTTGAAGCATCTGATTTTGGGGGAATTCTTCAATAGCCTGACAGAAGGGGGGCAATAGTCAGTAGATGCTGCAACCAGGGTGGTTTCAATATGCTCCTTTTGTCATTGTATTATTTTCCCTGTAGACAACACTAAACGGTACAATATTGTTTCTTTAATGCCTTGTACATTGCATTGATTCAGCAGTCCAAAAGACTCAAAATGATTTTTGATGTATGCATCGTATTTGGCTGAATTATTTGTGAAATAGATTATTATCTCATAGTAACTTTAGATTGATCTTTTAGGGGTTGCACCTTTCTTGCACCTAATGAATCTGTAAATCTTGGTCTAATTAATTGGCCCCAGCTGGAGAGTCTCATCATGGAGAACATACCATTATTTGACCTCGCTCCACTTTTGAAGGTATTTTTTAAATACGCTGTCATATGTGCTTTATAATTAACAAATAATTATATTTTTATATGTTCATGAGCACCTAATATGAGTGGTCATCTTTTATTTCAAGGTGTGTGCTAATTGTCCCAAATTGCGATGTTTGGGACTAAAATATGTTGGAATTTCTGGAACGTTTTCTCAAACTTGGAAGCTTGTACAATGTATTAATTTATTGAAAAACTTGGAAGATTTTCAGTAAGTATTTAAAACCATAAGAAATATGCATCGATTTTTGTTGTTATGTAGAATTGTGCTGTGGAGATTTTATTTCTGGTCATCAATGTACCAGGAAGGGGAGGAAATATAGTCAAAAAAGATAGTTTTCTGTAAATATTCAATATTTATTTTAGAAATTTTTATAAAACTGTAAGGATATGATCATTTTTTTATCATGATTTAATTGCAAAACTCATGTGTATCTTACTGTGTTGATCTTAAAAGCATTATACATCCCCTCTATAATAATACGCTAAAGGAAAGATGACAGTTTTGTTCCATTTTTAACAGACCATTGATATGCCTCATATATATATACTTCTGGGTAAGGAATTACCTCTCATTCCCATGTAAAACAGATTTAAGATGAAAAATTAGAAGATTGCAGATTAATTATGGTGTTGGGAGAAAAGCAGTCCTTACTACACTTTACTAAATAAGTTTCAGAATAATCCATTAATTTGAATGTAGAGGTTTATGACTCATTTTCGTTACATTTTCAGATTTGTACATCCTGACGTTAACCAATTGATGACTCTCATTGATGCTCTTTCACGATGTCCTAAATTATCTCGTGTTTCTATCATTTGTGAGAGCACACGTGCATCGCAAAATATCTCATCTTACTTAAAGCTCATTGAGAAATGCTCATATCTTGTTTTCCTATTTGTTTGTGTGGGAGCTGTAACTAAGAAAATGGAAAAAGATTTCCAAAAGGAAGTAAAGGCCAAGTAGGTACCTTGACTTGAGATAATAGTGTTCTAAACTCTTTATCTCTTAAACTATTTTAATTTTGTATTTTACAGATTTCTGAATGAGCGTAAATATCTGTGGGCATTGCTACAAGGAGCACTGCGAGATGATATTGTGGAATCTATCCCATTTATTCATTATTTGGAAATGTTACATGATGGTGCACAAATACCATTTCTGAAAGACTGATGTTATAAATGTATTTTTATTACATTTTTGTTATCTCTTGTAATGTAAATACTCTGGGTGAAAAGAACCTATTTTATATGTGAAGATTAAAGAAAATCATTAATATTTTGTTAAATTATGTGTTTCATACATAGTTTCACTGTCACACTACCATCATCATTTATTTTTATTATAGGAAATTGAATAATTTTAAAAGATTTCAATTTACTTTCAAAAGTGAAATGTCAGTTTACCATAAAGTCAAAATTTAGATGTAATTGAATAATGCAAAGGCTGCCAGAATATTCATCTTGGCCAGAATATACCCCTTGGTTTTAAAGTGTGTTAATTGCATTTTGAATTTGTTATTACGTGAAATAGATTCACATGTTATCATATTTATTTTTTTCCTTTTACTCATCTATTTACTGTATTCGATAATTATTCATGAAGCATCTGTCATTGTCAATCATCTTATTGTGTTTATGTCACTGCTTCCTCTTCTTTACAAAGACCCACCATCTCAAATTCTTCCAATTTGTCAGTTTTCGTTATGAATACCTGGCGCCTCAAATGTATTTCATAATAATATTTTTGTATCAACTAGTGGCCCTGGCAATGCTTCGATATTACAATGTATTACACTTAACACGCGGCACGTGATTGTTAACGTTTTACGCCACGCTCTGCAAACATTTTAATAGATGGTAGACTCGCGAGTATGGATTTGTTCTTGATGTTCGGGTTTGGACATGGTTATTAGGTATCCTATTGTTTCAACGCTCCTCTCAAGCTTGGGCATGCATTCCCTATGACACTGTGGTAGAAATTTTATTTACTTGTTCGAGATAACGTTCAAGTAATAATTCCGTCCGATATTTCACAATCGCAGGGACAGAATATGCAGCGAAGACCGCTTAATACTTGTGAATGCGGCGGGTTGCGTAGAGCTTCTGTTCAGGCGCACTTGAATCTGCATAAACGCAAAAAACCATCATCAACGAGCATCTAAGTGCGACAGACATGAGCACATTCCCATTGTACTGTGCCTATATTCTTCGCGCAAGTGCAAGCGAAAAGTTCCCAAAGTTTTATCTCAATCGATTGTACGGTACAGTAACGGCAGCGCATGGAATACAAATATTGATTTTTATATATTCGATTTAAAAAAGAAATTTCTATTTCCGGAAGACCGAAGCCAAAAAATGGTAGAAAATAGTCATCAGAACTCCGGAGACATCTGCCGAAACAGTTCGGAAATTAAACACTTGAACGTGATTTGTCGCTAGTGTCAAGCTAAACGCACACTGAAAGTTTGGAAACTGCGAGTTGTGTGTACTCAGGTGCTGTGGAAGCGGGAGGGTAATGCTTCCGGGATACATAACTGCGCTTCACCATAACTAGAACCCGGAAGTTCAGGCATTTATTTTACCTAAAATAGGAGAAAAGACATTTATTTTTAATAAAATAGGCATGCAAAAACTGCGTTTATGCATTAGCAATTGGCTAAGGTAGGTGGTAAAAATGACCAGAAACATTGAAAAATCACCTCTTAAAAGTAATTATAAAAAATTAATAATTAAAATGATTCACATTTTTATGCAAAAATTTACTTTAGCACTCACAGAGAAGGACTTTTTCTTTCCTTTGTAATCTTGAATGCATATGACCATTCAGTATGACGACTACTAATTAATTTTACTCCCGACTATCTCTACTCTACAGTTCTGTTCTCAGAAAGGTTCAGAGGCCAACACAATCGGGATGCGGTTTCTCGTGGGCGAACAAGTCTGTCAGCATTAATGAAAAATATCAAAAAACTCTTTCCTGGTGTCGCCTCCCATTCCCTTTTATATTTTTATTACAACCTGACACAGCCTCCGCGTGCACAGGAACACAATGCACAATCGCACCTTCACTTAGTCCCGGCTTGCAATTATGTTTTCAGCTTGATAGGGATTGGTGCCAGGGGAAGAGAAAATAATGACGAAGGCACCAATAAGGCAAAGGGCCAAATATAGGCACCAGAAGCTAAAAAGGCAAAATGAAAATATACTAAAACTACTCCAGAAGTACAATTCAGTGATTCCTATTGTTGAAACGTCCTGAAATCGTAATCGATTCCGATTGTTAAAAGCAATAACAAGGCATTTTGCCAGACATCCAGGCTCTAATATTGACGATTATTTGGCGTAAAAGCGATGTAAATAATCAATGCACGATTATAAAGAATTCCATTTATAAAGAATTCGCCCGGGGGATTGCTCACGGTAAGCCCAAAGCGATAACGGAGTTAACGATAGTTGTGAATAGTTCTTACAAGTCACTAAAATGAATAATATAATTTGTGATAAAACTTTCAAAGCTTATTTTCTAAGTTTACAATGAAATGTGTATTTCTGTGGTTCCTGTGGTACTCATCCCAGACCAATGGTTTCGGTTTTATTGCTTCTAACAATAGCAAATAATTTATGAGGTGTATCCACACGCCAACTATTCGTTCCCCAATCGTCTTTGAATTCGAAAATGGTATTACGGCTCATCGCCGAAATTGTTTAGTTTTTTCTACATTCGATGTCTTTCGAGAGGGGTCTGTCCCCAGTTATGCTGCGTTCGCGTCTTAAGAGGGTTGGCCGATCACATGTGCAGCATAAACTAAAATCATCATCGAGCATGAAACACCAGTTATACAAAGTCACAAGAAGTAATTTATTTTACATAATCGGGAAAAAAGTTTTCTGTATAAAGGGGAAACCGCTAGGCCAACTCTAAAACTATCGTAGAAACTATTTTTAAAAGGCCTTTAGTAATTATGTTATCTCTACTGATGTTTCGCGATTTACAGTAACGTTTGAAGATATGTCACACAATTATTTGTTCCACATTCCGCTCGCAGGATTTCAACAATTTTATTCACTTGAATCAATAAAAAACCCTATGAATATTATTTATCTCATTTTCCACAATATTTCTCTCTCCATTTTCTTCCAAATATTTTAAGTATATAACTAATGTGTAATAAAGATCTATTTCTTGTTTAAAAACGCAAATAGTCGGAGGAATGATGGCCAACGTGGCGCAGGGCTCCGGATCTTCGCAACTTAATTTACTACTCTTAAAAATACTTCCGTTTCATCTTGTTACTTTGGAATCTGGTATCGTTGCGGCGACTACCATACCATCGTTAAAAAAACGTCGTTCAGGAACGATAACTTTTCTTTAACTTTTAGTGAAACGTTCACCTGTTTTGGGATACTATGCATTTTCTTGTGCCTTGATATTTTCCATGGCCAACGCTTTTTCAACGTAAACATGCTGATATAATATTTTCTTCGTTTTGTTAACTAAATATGCTCAATAATTCTATGAAAAATCGTTGATTTTCTCTGATTAATAGCACGCGTGTAATTAAAATTCCACCGTGCAATTAAAACTCTATACCAACCAATCAGAATTCAGAAGAGGAGCAAAATTGTTTTATTAAGAAACTATAATTACAGTATACGTATACTGTGCTATAACACAGAGGTAGCTAAGGTATTTCCTGTCAGCCATAAAACATGAACATAAATATACATCTTGAAGAGGTCCTAGAGCAATGGAAACGTAAATGCACTAGAATGGGTATACTAATTGAAAATGAAACCTTGTATACCCAGCTATTTGCGAACGACCAAGTTGTAGCTGCTGGCGAGACCCCAGTTACATGGTCAGACATCTTAAAGAAGAATACAAAAAAGGGGAATAGAAATTAATACCAATAAAACAGAATATCTGGTAACAGGCCTAAAAAAATGTAGATGACAGATTTTGGAACAGTGAAAGTGCGCCATTGCAAACATTTCAAATATCTGGAAGTGACACTATCTGAGACTAGTAAAAGCAAAGATGACTTAGTAAATAATATTAGTCAATAAAAAGAGCAATATTGCATTTAAATAGTGTGCTATGAAAAGACAAAATTACAAAAAGTACAATGTATAAAAGTGTCTTTGAGAGTATAACTACATGCAGCTCTGAAATATGGGAGCTAAATAAAAGAGACAAAGATAGTGTTAGCTTTTGAAATGAATTTTTGGAGGTGGTGTGGCATTTCTAGAATGGAACATGTTCAAAACGATGCCTTCGGTGATGATGGGTGGCACGATGGGTACCTACGGCATCACAGGTAGCACGTAAGAGAGGCGATGTGTGAAACCCTCGCCATTTTATAGCCTCGGAACGCTGGCGTCGGCAAGTGGCATCTGGGTCACTCGCCGGCCGCAGCGTGTCGCGAGGGCCGGAATGCCATATCGCGACATAGCATCAGCGGGCATGCGATTGGAGTGCACTACGGAGGTCAGTTCACTAGCGAGTCGGCTACGGGAGTCTACGAGTCAGTCAGCGAGAAGAAGAGCAGCCCAAGTGTTTCATGAGTCGGCAGGTCGAGGCAGTGTAAGTGACGTGGCTGGGAGAGTCACAGCCACCCGCAGGAACCACCGTTGCAAGGAGACGGCGCTGCGATGGGCCACTAAGGGGCCTGGACCGACCGTGTCGGCCAAGCACGGAGGACGACCCCGAGCAGCGACTCAATTCATAAGCGAGCGGGTGGTTCGCATGCACGTCGGCCTAGCAGGGAGGCCGGGGCCCGACGGCTAGCAGGTGGAGCTGTGAGCATGGCGTCAAATCACAGCGAGTACGGCGGCAAGTCAAAAGTTTGAAGAGTGCGTCAGAAGCCCGCGTTACAATGGAATATAGTAGTTGAGTTGTAGTAGTTATTAATTCAAATTAGGAGTTGAATAAATCTTTTAACATTTCGTTTTGCGTTTACTTGATGGACACAACACTATGGTATATCAGTTTATGATGGACAACCTCATTTGTGACGGAATAGCGATTTTTACATTTCAATATCAATGATTCATAATTAGTGTTCTTTCGTTTGGTACGAAAATTTCCAAAGATTTTAGAAATTGTGGCCTTCAAAATAGAAAATAAAAAAAACTGATATGCGACCCTTACCATTTATTGATAGAATATCTTGCATGTGGTAAGAGCCTCATGGGAAATTTCGGTAAGGTGCTTTCGGTAAGGATAAAAAAGTTACAATAGATATTAAATATTTAATATTGTTATGTAGAAAGTGTAAAATGTCCTAACTTATCCAATTCTGTAATTAACCTCAAAAAGTTGTTAGTTCCTTTTTTTCTTCTTCCTCACATAGAACGTTGCTTATCACTAATGACGATAAAAGATACAGATGTTACATCTGCCCTTGATTGGTAGGCAATCCGTCATGCACTGGTGATTGACAGGAACGCGTTCAAACGCAAACATTTCGTGTACTCTCTCAGCATCAGTTCAGGATGAGTTGCGAACCAATAGGGGCAATGCAGAGTGGTAGCTACTTTCTCGGGTGCCTTGTAGAAAGACGAAATTGGGCTCCGTTTTGCAATTGCCGTCTTTATTTGGGATATAGGTCCTTATTCGGAGCCCAGGTGTCGGGTCGGTGACTTTGAATTGAATTAAATTTGCCTTATTTTACGTGGCGAGACTCTGGCCATCAGGCCCGCTCTACCGTCTGACTACGCAAATTTCGCTACGCTCCTCTCACTAGCAGAGGAAGGAGGTATTACTTGGGCGAGAAACAGGCGATTTGAATTTAGCTCAGAGGCATCATTTAGGCTTGAGGATATTTTACATGCAAGTAAATCTACGAACATGGTACAGCCGGCTTTACTTCCCCTCCGAAGGAAGGGGAAGTGACTTCAGGTGCCCTGAAGTCCGGTTGCGCACCGGTTGTACCAGCCTAGCTCTGCCCTTGGCCAAGTGATAATAGATAACGCACCGCACGATCGTCATGCACTGGTACCTCTTACATGCTCTGGAAATTTATTCGGAGTTATGTGTTAACTTGTATTCCATTGGTACAGGTCATTAGTACTTTAACGTAGTGAAATGGAGAATCATTTTACCACCCTCTTGATATGTAAGTTATTTACTTTTAAAACTTTAGAAGAATTCTCGTCAGAACTGAAATGGCGTGTTTTGTAAGAGTCTTTTAAGGCACATACCCGAATATACTTACACATATGTACTTAAAGTTTTTTCTAAATTTAAGTTTTCAAAAAATTAATCCGGTCGTTTTATTCTATTTTAAGTTAGAGGTTAATTTGGTTGTATGTCTACTCTAAAGAAATGTATTACATCATTACTTTTTGTTAATTTCCTTTTCACGAAATCTCCAAACCATACACAGTATATTCTCAACCTTCACCCTTTGCGAGAAAAATTGCACCATGTTGAGTACCCTTTCACACGAGCGAGCATCCAGGTCCATCTTTTCGCTCGGGCATTCAATAGTTTTATTTTCATTATTGTTTTACTATTAACGTACACGTATCTGATTTACCTATCAGTAAGCTTCAGGGTAATGTATGACGGAGCTGCCAATTTGAGTGAAACTTCAGCTACCTTCGAAGACGAAAGTCACGACATAGCCACGACTGAAAGTTCTTATCATCTTCACATCATGTATTATGTACTGGGCCTTCTCAATCTAGATGCGTTAGCAGCCATGTTTACAACACTGAGTGACGGTCACCGAGCCATCTTTGGCGCGATCAGCGTTACAAAAGTGGTAGTATGTGATTTAGGTTAAAATAATTCAGTATCGCTTATGTCAATATATATGTGACCTTTTTTGTGGAATAGTTTTCTAAGTTTATTGTCAGGGTATATTAGAAATTTATGTATGACAGCGACATAACTGGACTTTTTTAATCTACCGCGTGCACCTTACTAACTCCAACAAATCTATTAACTAAACATGACTTTAAACTAAAATCCACTCGCGAAACTGTCTTCCTTTGACGTCGTCCTAGTGCCCGTCTAAGAGCGCGCGCGCTTGTTGGAAGTGGACAGCTCGACCACCAGGCGCAGGCAGAACGCCTTCGAGGAGTCGGAGAAGCCGTGGAGTTCTGCGCGATGCATGCCCACGGGGACGACGCCCGTGAATTCGCCGTTCAGGGTGTAGGTGACGTTCGTCAAGTGGTACTTCCCCTGCAACAGGTACACGCACCCTTTTAGCGTTTTTTCGGACTCGAGTTTACAAAGAAAGAAAAAGAGATCTAGGCGAATCCAAAAAGTATTTTCGGGTCGAGGGGGATTTCAGTTCAGACCTTCCAATAAATATTTTGGGAATATGGTTTTGTTAGTTTAAAATAAAGGATACATAGATAAATAGGTAGATAGATTTATATTTGGAATTCTCTTTTGGGTGTTATGATACTATTTTGCACCCCGATATTTGACAAAAGCCATACATCCTCTCATTGTTTAAAGATGAAATTCATAGCGTCATTAGGAAACCTTCGAAAGACGGAACATTGCTCATTCCAAGACAAACTATTTTATTATTATTATTATTATTATTATTATTATTATTATTATTATTATTACTATTATTATTATCAGCTCGAGAGCGCACAGATGTGCATTTTCAACACATGCAATTTTGGTTAGAAAAAGGTTTGTTGATTAACACCAGTAAAAAGGAAATGGCATGTTTCTGTGACAGAGAAATCTTCCAACTTCTATCCTCTTTCTTGTAAAATGTACCATTTACTACAATTTACATATTTTAAAATTAACTATTAAAAAATTAATTTCGGAACACGAAACCTTGGACCTTTCAGTTAGAGTAGCAGCAGAGGCAGCGACAATGCAGTCTCTGACCTAAGTCGGTAAAAACTCATTGAAGAAAAGACGTGGGACTGTAGGTATTGTCAAATATTGACACTATCCTGGAAGAGATAATCAACCATATTTTCTTTCATTTCGAATATTGCTTCTAAGAATTAAAGTTCAGTTTTTAATCTCTTGTTTACTTTTTTATTTCACGCAAAATAGCAAAAGTTATGTAACGTCTGTGGAGGAAGACGAAAACTGTTTTAGAGGTAAGAGGGAAAGCATATGACTTTGTGCTTTTGCATTTTAATTGTGCAATTATGTTCACTTACTCAATTAGAATGTATTCTTCAGTTTTCAAATATTAGTTTACTACTTGAGGTAAGTTGAATGGAAATATCTTACGGGTTTCAAAGGACACTGACGCGGAAGATCACTGCCTCCAAAAAAAGGATCAAGAAAAATATTTGCTTCATTCATCAGTCGACATATGTTTTTGTAGGTGATGGAAAGCTTCTTAACTGTTTCTCCATTTGCTTTCTCGTCGTAAGTGAAAGCGTCAATCTGAAAAATAAACAAAATAAAAAATAGACATTTTACGTAAATTATAAACTGCTTTTCTGGGACATCCGTTCTCTCCCCTTTTCACTCTAGTGTTTACCATTAAGGTTTGTAAATTTAATTACCATTAATAAAGTCTGTAAATTACATCCCACGTTTATTTAAATGAACGAACTCTTACATTAGGGCCAAATTATTTTCCATGTATTGCTATAGTGAAAACTTTTAAGCAGCCGCCTTGATTAAACGGCCCAAATGGCTGATTAAAAATTTCAGAAATGCACAAACGAAATTTTCTCCAAGACGGCTCCAATCCCCACACATACACACACCTCCATCCTCCAGTATTTCCATATGGAGAAAAGGTTTAGATATTCTGAACGTTCTTTTTTAGGGCAAAGGATAATTGACAATGTATGTGTTCATAACAAAATATGTTCAATTTAAATATTTTAAGAAAGAAAAATTAGCCTTTAGCTACTTCAGAAAATATTTTATTATTTTGTTCTACATTTTCTGTTAAGCTATTTAATTTTGAAAAATAGGTTTATTAATGATTGCGAGGTTGATAGTATGTAAACCTGAAGTAATTTTGTTAACATTGTTTTTATGTCAAGTAACTAAATTAGATTCACTGTTGCTAATCACACTATTGGCCGTATAAGTAACAAGATCGATTTTTCTTATGAAGTGTGTTTAAAAAACATGATGTGCTGTGTTTCAAGCAGTATAATAAAGAGCGATTAGCACACAATAGCTGAAATATTACATTACATAATTTTCAATTTATTCATTATCATTTAACATAACCGATCGTTCGAACCGATAACAGAACGAGAAAGTTCGTACCATGTTACGTCTATTTTACAATGTATCTTTCTTTTTGAAACACCATCGGCTCGGACTTAATGGAATCACATTCTTTGGGAAACATTTAATTGTGCAAGAACCTGCTAAACTTAAGCTCTTGCCAAAATCATTTATTTGATTTCTTCATACCTTGGAAATTGAAGGTACTTCTTTTCCAATACTGAAGGATCCCATCATAGTGGACGAATACTCGTTGATGCGTCTTGTCTGAAAATTTATGGAAATATTCCAAGGATTTGCGGTAGTACAAGACATTGTTTTCAATATAACAGCGTGCCATACACCCTGTAAAAGAGAAATTGCCAAGATAGTAATACTTAATACTGAGAGAACTCCATAAACTTAGAAAGACAATATAAAATTAGATAAAATTCCTTAGCAATATTTTTAATGTAAACACGCACTCTATTGCCTGTGATCATACACTGTAGGCTAACAGACAAGACGATAATTAAGAACGACCGCCATTCTTATCTTCTCGCCTTACTATGTGTGTGTTAAAGACAAAGCGTTCTAATGCTGAGACAATATCGGCGCTTTTTCAAGAAACAAAACCGTTCTGTGGGACCCTGGTATCGAAGAGGTGGGTAAATGTTGTTCTTATTTGTAATGAATCCTTTCGTCTAACACATCTAGTCAAAATTCACGTCCTGCCAATCGGTCCGTCTGTGGTCAACCTTAGCTTCTAAACCGTTCGGTGGATTTTCTCCAAAATGTATATTCCCCGATCGATCTAGTAGAACACGAAGCTTTCTTGAGTTATAAACAAATATTTGGATTTAAACAATATTTTATATGCAGCCTTCACATTTTCAAAATTTTATCAAAAATGGCTACATTTTTTATTAAATGTTTACTTCCAAAAGTATAAAGAATGTAAAAAAACAATGCGATGTGTGTCTCTTTTCGTTAACATCTGTGAATATTCAAAAAATACAAGATTGGAATTTTTTTACTTTCTATTATACGCACGTATATAAAAAGTAATATACGTAGTATAGGGAAAGTTATGCAATTCTGCGGGAAAGCGATTTCAAGATTTTTGTTTCAAGATTCACGCTTTTGGGTTCCTGATACCGAAAATATTTTTTTTTTCAATACGTCCGTTCGCCCGTCTGTTTGTCTGTGAACACACTAGCGCCTAAACAATACGAAGGATTTTTTTTCCAATATGGATATTCCCCAGTCGATTTGGCTCAACTCGACTAATTTCTTGTATGAAAAGAGTAAAATACAATTATAAAGGTGGTATACGTCAAATTTTCACGGATAACTGAATTTTCGAAAATTGCAAAATTTGAATTTCTTTCGGCGTCATCCTACAGCTACAAAATTGAAGATACAGATTTTTCTATCAAATGAAATTTGTTCTCCATATCTAGTTCTTTCAATAAGTTCACGTACATTTCTTTTCAAACTTTTTATAGTTTTCGTACAATATTGGTTGCAATAAGTACAATGTTGCAAAATTACAAAAACTTGATTTTCTCAAAAACGGCCCTACATTTTTTTCTTCAAATGTTTTGAATGGATAGTGATAATTGCACTTTTTAATATGACGTAAAGTTCATTTCGGGATATTTTTTTTCAAAAATTTCACAAATTTAATTTTTTGAAAGATCTCTCACGCCGTTAATATGCTTATTTCAAGTAATTTGTAAACACTATTGAATTTTGAAGTAAAAGTGATTTAAATTATTTCCAAGGATGTTTTTAGAAAACTCAAAAATGATTTGTGAAAAAGAGTTTCAAATTTAAAATTAACAACAACGCATAAGCACCATTTTCTTAAAAACGGGTCCAATTTTTACTAAGGAAATTATCATTTAGGAGAGGTTTTACTGTTCTTTAATATTCTGAAAATAATATTTCCGTTCTAGTATTAGGAAACTGAAAAATGAAAATTTGAAAAAAAAAAAAAAAAAAAAAAAAAGGTTTGCAAGGGTATGTGGTGAGTTCGTGTAGCTTATCAAGAGACAAAGGAATAGAAAAACTAATATGGGAAAGTCTGTAACCGTTTCGTAGCACAACTAGTTTTTTTTCGGCATCTTCCTTCAGCTAAAATCATTGAAGATACATATTGGTAAAATCCGTTCCAAAACGCCAGGGGCCTTTTACCTCGTTCCACGGGGAAAACGTTATTATTGGGGGAAATTATCTTAAATGGGTTGTAAGGCGCTAACCAGGGACCACATAAGGAGGGACAGAAAGACAAAGGACAGCAATGGTTTTATCGTCAAGGCACTTGAATTCTGCCACAGATGCCACAAAACATATTTACTACCTACAAAACTCATAATGAAAATAATTTTAATTACATATAGGAATCAAGAACGTATTTTTTTCGTTACCAGGCAGTAAGGAGTTTTCCGGTCGAAAACTTTCTCAAATGCAGGGCGAAAGAACTATGCGAGAAAGTAAAAAGGTCATGAATAAAGCATATGTGGTAATTGAAATGATCTTCATGAATGAAAATTTACGTTAATACATGCATTTAGGTAGAGGATTATGCGTAATTTAATGTTTGTGTATGAAAGTAATTTTACGATAAAGCGCGTACGTTTTCTCTTTCTACATATGTTGTGGGTGAGAAGACAGGTTTCCAGCATGAGCGAGTTGTGAAATGGGTAGGCTAATTGAATTGCAAAACATATACTTAAAAATTTGAAACTAGTGTGCATGTATATTTATGAATTTATTATAAGTTAAGTTTACGTAAGCTAAAGTATAACAATTCGCCTTGTAACAATTTTTGGAGTGCTGTTTTGCTGCTAAAGTAATCTCAGGAACGAGCGTTCTCCAAAGAATAAATTTCCGAACGTCGAGGCTCTAAAATACATTTCATTTTGCGTAAGTTTTGTAAAACTTTGACTTCTTTCAGAAATAAAATTGTTAAAAGGAATTTGATCATCAAGAAACACTGTTAATTTAATCATATTCTCCCTGATGTACTTTTGTCGCATCGAAGTAAATAAAATAATGCATTGAGTAACGTAGCTTCCGGCCAAAAGAGCTTCCTCTCCTTGCTTTTCAACGACTTACATTGCCCGCAGGCCATCAATTGATGCACTGGCAGTGGCCTATGGGTCGAAGATCCTGAGTCCGTAGTAGTTTTCTACATTAGCTAGACAGATAGGTCGAATTCAGCCTCTTGCCTGGAGAAGAATGCTCGTCAGCCGGCTGCTCTGATCGGTAGTTTTCCGTTTTTTTCCCATCAACTCCAGGCGAATGACCGATGGTAATTCTAACAAACGGGAACGGACCGCGCACTCTTCCCTCATATCCCTTGAAAATCCCTACCCCGTACTTCCAACACTTACACTTACATGCACTACATTTCCGCAACACTATTGGCAGGATATCAGTCGGGACTTAGAGGTTGTCCCGGCCTTGCGTGGATCCTGCTGATGGCAGATACCTGCTGGAAAATCCGCTAGCTAGAGGGTAGGTTGGTGCGGATATCACATTCACCGGAGAAAATCACCTACCGAGGAAAACACATGCAACTACACTTACGATACTAATGCATTTAATTGACGCCACTGCGGATCATCAATTAAATGAATCAATCCCTTGCATTTACTTGTATTTCCTTATCTCACCTCTTATTCGTTTTCTCTCCTTTGTCGGAAACAGGTTTTGAATGTCTTTAATACATTCACAAATACTTTATAAATATACGTGTAAATACATTTTTACTTTCTTCCCTATCCCATAATAATAGGAAGGAAAAATATTGAATTTCTCAACAATATGATCTCGCATGTGGTCGTAAAATCTTGTGTAGGTTCTTTTTAACTGGAATTTTTTCACACATCAGGCTTAAGTATATCGTATTAGTGCTGTTTCAAAGCATGGTTAAAATTTGTGCAGGTGAAGAGGAGATTACATGCGATTGTGTACCTGAAAAATCGAATTGTATATATGCGATGTGTTACAGCATAACTGTTAGATTACAAGGCTTTGGAGTTGAAACTTGATGAATACGTCAGGAGTTAAGCGTAGATGTGCCGAGCTTGCAAATCATTAAGAATTTTATTTTTTTGAAGAGTACTTTACATGAAGTCGGCCCATGACATTTTTCAAACATTTTCTGGAAAATGGCTAAAACTGTTTTCTCTTTTGGTTTTTGCACAAATATATTTCCAAATAAAAGAAAGTGAATTTATGAGTATGGCATGGTTCCTATTTTTAATAAATCTTCTGACATTTATAAATTCCAAAAATATTCAAATATTAAAACACTAGAAGTTTCATTAGAAGTTTGAGCTTTCACTATATTATCCTCAGCTAATATACCGCTTGCTATCGCTGATATCCTCTTCAAGAAAAGTTGTTAGCGAAGCTAGTATACCTAATTCCTTACGTTCAGAGGAATGGGTTTTTAAATACCAAAGTTTGTAATTGAATTATTGTTTGAGGTGCATTGTCTTAGAAGTCAATCTGACAACATGTGTCCTTTCAAAAAAAAATCAGTTGATTATAATTTTTGTGGTGCATAAGTTTTTTAAGATAATGTGAAAGCAGCATATTTCCCTACAACATACATGTTCAATTCAATGGTTCATACGAAATTTAAGTAAACGTGTTTGTAAAACGAAAAAAAAACGATGTTTTTAAAATGTTATTTTCATGCTGATTCCGAGTTACTATGAGGCAAGCTCTTCAAATATAAACTTAGCGTTTGTTATCAAGACCATACCACATTCCATTGTTTATTCAAAATTCACTTTTTGCAAGTTTTCTGAGTTAGCAGAAGTTCGGTGGCCCGCGGAAAATCAGCTTTGAAACATGTACCTCTGCATTTATTTAAAAGAACGTAGATGGTGCAAAATAGTAGAGTATGTATTAATTGAAGCAACTATTGTAGCATAATAGAAATTGAACATCAAAAACTTACCTTTCCAAAAGGGCAAAGAAACGACTACGCTAAGAGAAAAGCATATTACTAAAAATGATTCTCGAAACATAGTTCTAAGTTCATTAAGCCTTTTCCTAATTCGTTGACCACAAGATGATAATAAAATGTGAACTTCAATTTTATACTATTGCAGCGTTACGTAATTTATTGTTCATAATGATCGTGCTAATTTAGTTACACGACCAAAATAACTTCCTGCCGTTTAACATTGAATGCCTTCTGCATTAGTTGTACCTCCATAAATGGAGAATCTCTTTGCCGATAAAGTGATCAGTGCCGTCATTAATGGCATGTACATGAACCATTGTAAATGGAAAGTAATTGAGCAAAAAGA